AACTTCATGAATAAAAGGTCTTATTCATAAAAACAACGAACTACTCAGCTATAAACTTAAAGAGCAAGGTACATATCATGCTTTAAAACCATTCATACTAAGAGATGTGTGTTGGAGACAGCTACCAAAGAGAGTGATTCTTGCTTTGAACAACTTAACAAACCATCCTTTGTAATAGTAGTTAGACAGCAGAACAGTGGTGTATTAAGGCTAGTTTTTTATGTTGTTGTTGTTTATTTGGTTTTTTTTTTGAGACAGAGTCTTGCTCTGTTGCCAGGTGCCAGGCACCAGGCTGGAGTGCAGTGGTGCAATCTGGGCTCACTGCAACCTCCACCTCCCGGGTTTGAGCAATTCTGCCTCAGCCTCCTGAGTAGCTGGGATTACAGGCGCCAGCCACCACACCCAGCTAATTTTTATATTCTTTAGTAGAGATGGGGTTTCACCATGTTGGCCAGGATGGTTTCAATCTCTTGACCTCGTGATCCGCCTGCCTTGGCCTCCCAAATTGCTAGGATTACAGGCGTGAACCATGGTGGCCAGCCTATTTTTTTTTGGGGGGGGGACAAAGTTTCACTCCTGTTGCCCAGGCTGGAGTGCAATGGCGCTATCTTAGCTCACTGCAACCTCTGTCTCCTGGGTTCAAGCAGTTCTTCTGCCTCAGCCTCCTGAGTTACTGGGATTACAGGCACACGCCACCATGCCCATCTAATTTTTTATATTTTAAGTAGAGACGGGGTTTTACCATATTGGCCAGGCTGGTCTCAAATACCTGACCTTCAGATGATCCACCTGCCTGCGTCTTCCAAAGTGCTGGGATTATAGGCGTGAGCCACTGTGCCCAGTCTTAAGGCTATTTATAAGTAATCATAGCAAACCTTATCAATTAAAAACATAAGCATAAATAAAAATAGAAATTAAAATACACAAAGTATTTTCTTAGACTATGTGGAAAACATCTTGAACATATTCAAGCATGTTCTACATTTCTTGGTGGGAAGATATCATTAAAATGTCACTTCTTCCTCACCTATTTTTCTTGACTTCATGTAATTGCAATGAATTTTGAATAAGTGTTTATTTAAAATTAATATGAAATTCATCTGGAATAACATGAAATGATCAAGAATATCCAAAACATATTTTGAAAAAACAGAAGTTTATTTAGGCAAGACCACTCCCATTAGATTGCAAACATAGATTATAGATAGACAGATAGATAATCAACTGTAATTTATTCCATGATTCTGGTTTTAAAATAGGAATATAGATTCATAGAATATAGTAGAAAGCTCAGAAATAGATGTAAAACAGATGTCATGAAGTAATAGGAAACAAAAATAATTTCATAAAATGTGTGAGATAACCTGGCTTATACTATGGAAATGTAATTTCATATTTTACATTAAATATAAAAACAAAATTTAAACTAAGAAATTGATATGTAAAGATAAGTCACAGAAGTAACAGAAAATGAAATTGAACATAATTTGAAAGTATGATAATTTATTTTACCTCTGAAGCAATATAGTATGTAATAACAGAAGAAAGGTATTCATATATGTGATTTCCTTTTTAAAAAATCTATATGATAAAAAATACAAGTTAACCTGGCTAGGCCTGGTAGCTCATGCCTGTAATCCCAGCATTTCCGGAGGCCAAAGCCTTTGCTCGCTATGTGTTATTTATTATTTATTCAACGTGTATTTTGATTTTATTTTCCTGGCAGCACTATAAGCCAGGACATGCTGAAACTAGAAATCACATCCACTGTCCAGTGATAGAAAGCCCAGTCCAGGGAGATGAGAAGGAGACAGTCCTCATTAGCGTTGAGGACTCAGGGAGAACGAGATGGGCTTGGCAGGGAGGTTTCTACTTGGAACCTGGAGGATGAGCAATGACATCCCCCTCTCCACCTGAAAGTCCATCCTGGGCGTCCACCTCCTGGGAGCAGGAGCGGCGCAGCAGCGCCACCTGGCCGTCCACGCACTTCCTTTTGCAGCTCATGCACAGTCCTCTCCTTCCTAGGCACCTGGGACTTCTTCAGTGGACACCAGCCTGCATCGTTTCCTGTAAAGCAAAAGAAGCGTGAGGTTGCTGGGGGAGGAATGGTGTCATCTCCGCCTTTGGGGTGATCCATGTCACCGTGTTCAGGGGAAGAGCCCGGGCTTACTCCCCATGCAGAGAGGAGGCTCTGGCCATAAAGGGACCTGTGGAGAGGTGAGGACCCGTTCCCTCTACACTGGTGGCCAAGAGCCTCCAGACGGCGGGGAAGGCTTTCCCTCAGCCCTGTCCTGTCAGGTTTTTCCAGGAGTCAAGGAGTAGAACTGTACATTGCCTCTGGTGATGTGCGCTGCATGCACACTTAGAAGTGAGGTCACCCCTGCTGGGGGTCCTGGGGCTGCTGGTTATTCTGGGTGCTCAGTGTCCACAGAGCAGGATGAGGAGGAGGCTTTGTTCCAAACAGTAACCATACTCTCTGAATTATTTTTTTCAGTAGGCTTTGTGTCATAAAATAAAATGTAGGACTCCAAAGGGAGAAAAACTGTCTAAAATTTGTGTCCTTTAATAAAAAATAAACACCCATTAACCACCAGGGATACACATTTGCGGGGCAGACCAAAAGCCCCATCATTTGCTCCAGCTCAGCAATAAATTCTTTCCTCCCCCAAATAAAAACACATCCTGACTTTTAGGGTCATCCTTTCTTTGTTGTATTTTATATTTTTATAATCCCAAATTGTAATTTAGTTTTACCTTTAGAAATGTGCTTTTGTTCTCTTTTATTCTATAGATTCTTCCTCAAAATGTATATTGTGTGGTAGAGTTTCCCACAGTGTGTGTTTTGCTGATTTCTCCCCAAGGCGTAGTTGGATATGTATTTGTATGATCTGTATTGCCTCTAAATCGGTGACTGGCTATGGAGGTTAGCTTAGTTCAGGCTTGATTTCCTTTTCAATTGCTCTTGTTTGGCGGTACTCTACTGTGTTCTTCCATCAAGAGGAAGAACCCAACATTAGTTTTTTTCTTTATTGTGTTGTTATTTGCCATTGCTGTTCAATGGCTAAATCTGTTAATTCCTTATGTGTTGCAAATCAGTTATTATAGCCTCAGTATCTCATTCCTTCCTCATTTATTATCTGAATAATTTCTAAAGTAAGAGACTTACCCTCCTCTGCTGTTTGTTTATGACTAGACATTTGTTTATTGAGAGACTAAGCCAAGCATCTACTCACTTATGACCCAGCAATTGCACTCTTAGTTATAAACCAACAGAAATGCATGTATGTGTGTGCTAAAACATATGAAAATATTCACAGCAGCACGATTTGTAAAATCTGGATATAACACAATTGTCTATCAACAGGAAGTGTGAGCTATTTATAAAGTGCAGCATTTGACAGCCTTGGGAAGGACTAGCCTACGACCACACACACAGATCATGAGCCCCAGGGACGTGATGGTGACCGTGCAATGCCATTCAGCCAGGACCGGCAGAACGAATCTGTGTTAGAAATCAAGAGTGGCTCCTCTGGAGTGGGGGAGGCTGGTTTATGACAGAGTAGGACTCAAAGGTGTTTCCCGGAGGCTGTGATTGATGTGCTTGGATGTGGGTATTGTTTGCCGGAGGGTTCACTTTGTGAAAACCCACTGTGTGCTTGAGCATTGTCCTCTGAGTTCTCCATGCATGTTGTCCTTCACTCAAATATACATTTCCGGTGTTTTGAAGCAATTCTATCTACAATAAGAAGAATCGCTCCTACTGCACATCCTTGCAAATGCTGCAATGAAAAAAAATCAGTGCAATTTTTCCAGGAAATAAATACATATAAAGAGGAGAATTGACAACAAGAGCAGCTTGCTTGGGAGCTGACACCAGAACAGCTTTGGGAATGGATGTCGAGCCAGTAACCAGGAATCAAACTACAGACAAGCCCATGGGAGGTGGAGGATGTGAAGTGATGCCCCAGAGGTGCATGAATGAATGAGTCATGGGCAGTGGCTCTGGGCTTGGCTGGCCAGTCATGAACTTGGGGGAAATAGAGTTTAAAAATTGGGACTTAGAGGAGAGAGGTACGCATAGATCTCTTACTATACACAGAATGTGTGAAGATAGTGGTTGTGTGGATGCCTACTAGAGGGTCTTTTGGGGATGGGGCTCCCTGTGATCAGGTGGGTGAGATGGCTTGATGGATGATGCCACTCAGCCACACTGGGCTTGCTCATGGAGTTCCTGAACAATGTGGCCGTGGTGGCTGGGATGGACACTGCATGGGCACAGCAATTGCATCACCACTTACCAAGGCTGACCTGGCAGCTGCCACTGTTGAGGGCCCAGCCTCCCAAAAGCAGCTGTTACTTTGGATGAAGAATTAAAACAGGAAATGGTAATTCAGAATAAAATAGCATTACCACAGATAAATATGCCACTAAAGATATAGTAGAGGTTTAAATAATTTTGAAACAATGAACAAGATTATGCAAATGGAAAGAACTTACTATCAGTAAAGAAGTTAAAATGGTTTTAAAACTTTATTTCCCTTCAGGCATATCGAAGCTGTTTTGAAGATAAGTTTTACCAAACCTTCAAAGAAGTTTACTGAACTTATACAGAATATCCAAGAGAATAAGGAAACATAGAGAGAGCTAGTAAATTCACTATTGTTTATGCACACATAGCATTGATTCTAAAGTCAGCTAGGGAATACATAAGAGAAAAGCATGATAGGATAGTCACTTCTAAGCAATTAGACATAAAAATACTGAGAAAAACAGTAGTAGACGGTGTACACCAATGAGCTATAAACAAATTAAATATCCTGCCCAGGTTATGTAGCCCAAGAACACAGGAAGATTTTAACTTTACATCTGTAATGCATTTTACCACGTCATTAAAGAATAAAAGACAGAGACAGTCACATTTCACTAGATGCAGGTGAAATCCAACACTCCCTCTCACCTACATGTCTTCAGTTATCTCCACTTTTAAGAACTTGTGATCATTTCTCACTTTGGCAGCACACAGAATAAAACTGAAACAATATACAGAAGTTCAGCATGGTCCCTGCACAAGGGTGACACGCAAGTTCCTGAGGGATTCCATATTTTTAAACCCTCAACAAACTAGGTATTGAAGGAACATACTTCAAAATAATAGTAGCCACCTATGACAAACCCACAACCAATATCATACTGAATGGGCAAAAGATGGAAGTCTTCCCCTTTAACATCAGCACAAGACAAGGATGCCTTCTCTCACAACTCCTCTTCGACGTAGTATTGGAAGTTCTGGCAGGAGCAATCAGGTCAGAGAAAGGAAGGATATTCAGATAAAAAGAGAGGAAGTCAAATTGTCTTTGCAAATGACATGATTTTGTATCTAGAAAACCCCATTGTCTTGGCAGAAAGGCTTCTTAAGCTGATAAGCAACTTAAGTAAAGTCTCAGGATATAAAATCAATGTGCAAAAGTGACAAGCATTTATATACAGCAACAATACACAAGCAGTGAGTCAAATAATGAATAAACTCCTATTCACAATTGCCACAAACAGAATAAGAGGGCCGGGTGTGGTGGCTCATGCCTGTAATTCCAGCACTTTGGGATGCTGAAGCGGGCAGATCACCTGAGATCTCATTCGAGACCAGCTTGGCTAACTTGGTGAAATCCAGTTTCTCCTAAAAATACAAAAATTAGCCAGGCATGGTGGCTTGCACCTGTAATCCTGGGTACTCAGGAGGCTAAGGCGGAATAATCGATTGAACTTGGGAGATGGAGGTTGCAGTGAGCTGAGATGGTGCCATTTCACTCCAGCTTGGGCAACAAGAGCAAAACACCATGTCAAAACAAACAATCAAACAAACGGAATACAGCCTGGGAATACAGCTAACAAGGGAAATGAAGGACCTCTTCAAGGAGAATGACAAACCGCTGCTCAAGGAAATGGGAGAGGACACAAACAGAGGGTAAAACACTCCATGCTCATGGGTAGGAAGAATCAATATCGTGAAAATGGCTATGCTGCCCAAAGTAATTTATAGATTCAACACTGTTTTCATGAAACTACCATTGACTTTTCTCACAGGATTAGAAGAAACTACTTTAAAATTCATATGGAGCTAAAAAGAGAGCTTGTGTAGCCAAGATGATCCTAAGCAAAGAGAACAAAGCTGGGGACACGGTGCTGCTTGACTTCTAATTGTACTACAAGGCCAGTAACCAAAACAGCAGGGTACTGGTACAAAACCAGACACATAGACCAATGGAACAGAACAGAGAACTCAGAAATAAGACCACACATCTACAACTACGTGATCTTTGACAAACTGACCAAAACAAGCAACCGGGAAAAGATTTCTTATTTAATAAATGGTGCTGGGAGAACTGGCTAGCCATAGGCAAAAGATTGAAACTGGACCCCTTCCTTATACCTTAAACAAAAATTAAGCATGATGAATTAAAGACATAAATGTAAAACACAAAACTATAAAAACCCTAGAAGAAAACCTAGGCAATACCATTCAGGGCATAGGAAAAGTCAACAATTTCATGAAGGAAACGTCCAAAGCAATTGCAACAAAAGCCAAAATTAGCAAATGAGATCTAATTAAACAAAAGGCCTCCTGCACAGCAAAAGAAACTATTATCGGAGTGAACAGACAACCTACAAGGTGGGAGAAAGGTTTTGCAATCTATCCATCTGACAAAGTCTAATATCCAGAATTTTCAAGGTACGTAAGGGTCTGTGTCCTCCGGGAAACCCAGGTTTCTGCTGGAGCTGCGAGGTGCAGGGACATCCTGAGAGGCTGTGGAGGTTTTCCTGATCATGGGCTGAGAATTCCAGGGGTTGTGGTGGAAAGATTTCTGGAGTTGGGAGGGAGGATGATGCAGACAGAATAGGGGTGTGCAGAGCCTTGTGAGGATTCGAGTGCAGAGTATGTGGGGGACCCAGTGTGACTGACACAAACAGGGAGAGGGCGTGATGAGCTCAGTCCTGGTAGGCTTGAGGAAGATGATGGTGCTGAGGCTGTGGGAGACAGGGGAGGAGGAGCAGGGGTGGCTCTCACCTGGGCTCTGTCCATGGCAGTGAGGATGGTGGAGTGGTTGGGTCTCAGTGCTGTGTGGAACTTTCTTGACCACATGATGACAGTATGGCATTCCTGAGACAGAGGACTTCTTAGAGGATTGATTCTTGACCCCAAGGAAAGGAAGTGAGCTCATTCTAGGTCTCAGGTCTACCCCGCTGCCTTCTTCAGGGGGTGCCAATTCTGGGGCCCACATAGACCCCAGCACAGGAGCCCTCTTCTGCTCTGCTGAGGGGACTGAGGCCCAGGGGAGCTGTGCTCAGATTTCATAATGCCAATATATGTCTCCACATCTTGGAGTATTATGTGGATGTGGAGGTGTTTTTCCCAAATAAAAGAAAACTGAGTAAATGGGATCTTAAAAAAAACTGAACAATAGAGAGTAGAAGAAAATGTTTCTACTTTTCAGTTTCCCCAAATGTTGGTCTCAAGGGGCTGGAGAGAGAAGTTGCAGGAAGAACAGAAACTCTGAGAGGGCTGGAGCTCCTGAGAGATGCTCACCTCCACCAGAAAGACATGTGGGAAATGGTTAAGGCAATTTTACGCTACTTTGAAATTCTGTAATATTAGGGAATTACAGCAACTCTCTTCAGTGTAATAATAATATTATTGGAAGATTTTATTTTTTAAGAGATGATCACCAAAGTATTGAGGAATGAACGTCATGCTGTTGGCAGGTGATTGTCAAATGTTTCAGCAAAAATCATGGAAATGTAATTTATTACATACACAAAGGAAATAGTTAGATCTATGGTGACCATTTTATTCTTTCCAACTTTCGGATTCTTTGAAATTTTTAAAATAGTTTGGAGAAAACATTAAAGTGAATACAGTGTAATCACATGAGAAATGTTCACAACGTCATGTTGAATGAAAATTAAACTTCAAGACTAGATGAGGTGGCTCATACCTGATCTTAGAGCTTTGAGAGGCTGAGGTGGGAGGAGCATTTTAGGCCAGGTATTTGAAAGCAGTCTGGGCAACATGATGAGACCCCATCTGTACAACGCACTAAAAAATTAATGAGCCTGGTGGCAGATACCTGTGGTTCTAGCTACTTGGGAAGCTGAGGTGGGGGGATTGTTACAGCCTGGGAGTTCAAGGTTATACTGAGCTGCGATCATACCACTGCAATTTAGCCTCAGTGACACAGCAAGACCATGTTTAAAAATAAAAAAGAGAGAGAAGAAAAAAATATCAGGCCTTTAATGGCATTCAAGAGCATATGCATGAGAATGTGTCAGTTGTGTGTATTTTGTGTGTGGTCGTGTCATTGTGTGGAGAGCATCTGAGTAAGAATGTGTGTCAATACGTGTGACAACATCTTTTTGTCTGTGTGTGTGGGTGTGTGAGTCTATGTGTGCATTCATTCATTCACTCAACAAGTATATTTAAAGTAACAGGCACTATTCAAGGCAAGGGAAATAACAGTGGTGAACAATCAAAATCACTGTCCTTGTCCTCATAAAGAATGTATTCTAGAGGGGAGAAAGATTATAAGCAATTAAAATAAATACATTCGTAGCTGGACATAAATGTACATAATCCCAGCACTTTGGGATGCTGAAGTGGGAGGATCACTTAAGGCCAGAAGTTTGAGATCAGTTTGGGAAACATATCAAGACTCCGTTTGTACCAAAAGTAAATACAAAACTAGCTGAGTGTGATGGCACACACCTGTAGTCCCAGCTGCTTGGGAGGCTGAGGTGGGAGGATCACTTGAGCCCATGAGTTTGAGGCTACAGTGAGCCAAGATTGCACCACAGCATTCCAGCCTGGGTAACAGCACAACCCTGTCTCTCAAAATAAATAAGTAAAGAATCCTTAAACGTTAGTAAAACGGTTGTGAACAAAAACAAAGCAGGGTGGGGTGGGGGGGAATGGGAGATGCCACACAAAGTGGGCAGTGCAAGGACAGGCTCTTGTGGGAATGAGGAGAATGTGGGGGGTGGGAGAAGGGAGCCCTGTAGATGAGTTTCCAAGCAGAGGAGCGGCTGTGCCCAGGCTCTGAGGTGCAGAACCCTGGGGTGCTGGATAAACCATGCCGGGGAGGGCCCCAGCCTGGCCCCACTGCACAGCCACACCTGGGTAAACTGAGTGGTCACTGGAGAGGGCCTTGCCCACGAGAGGGACTTTTCACCATGTTCTCCTCCCTCCCCAGACCTCAGGTCCTCTGCCAGAAACGAGCACGTGATCGCGCCTCAGGCGTCCTTCCCGGGAAGAAGTAGCGCACGTGTCACTGCTGCTACAGGAAGGAGGAGCAGAAGAAAACGTTTCTTCTGTCCGGTTTTCTGGAGGGTCGTCCCGGAGGGCTGGAGAGGGATGAGGAGACAGAACCCTCAGGGACGCTCGAGGCTGCAGAGCTTCCCGCTCCTCCTTCTTGTGGGGTCCCTGACTGTCAGAGGCTCCTTCATACCCTGATGCCCAGCCCGGCTCAGCGTCTCTGCCGGACTCACCCCACTCCTCCCTCCACTGCTCGCAGAATCCGAGGGCGGCGGCCTGCGGCGCTGTGCGGATTGGGGGGCTGCCGCGGCAGAAACGGGGAGACGCCGAGAGGGGCCGCTCCGTGCCAGGCGCGGCTGGGGGCTCCGGGGGAGGAGGACCCGGCTTTTTGGCCGAGGCCGAGGCCGTGGCTGCGGGCTGGATGCTCAGTTTCCTCGGCCGCTCCGAGGACTCTGGCCCGACCCGCGGCAGCGCCCAGGCTGTGTTTCACGGACTGCCCAGTCCAACCGCTTATCGATTGAGAACTGCACACAGATGTCAGTTTTGATAAGAATTGCAGCAGGAAAAAACCTGGATGCACAGTTTGAAAATGATGAACCAATGACACCCTTGGCATCAGCCCTGATGATCTGGTGTTCAGTTGAAAAGGAACAGGACAAACTTCACGAAGAAATACAGAATTTAATCGAAATTCAGGCCATCGCTGTTTGTATGGAAAACGGCAACTTTAAAGAAGCAGAAGTCTTTGGAAGAATATTTGGTGATCCAAATTCTTATATGCCTTTCAAAAGAAAATTGTTTAT